GTCTTTAAGCAACGTGCCACAGAATGTATTTTTTTATTAATATTAAAATTTTTTTTTATGTAAATATATAAATTAATTTAAGAAGCAAACTAGATACCTACACATAAAAATAAAAATTAAAGTTTTTAAAGATGAGTGTTTTTAATTTTACTTTAGTACAAGGGTGGCCATTTCACACGTACACGAGAAAAACTGCGCTGCTTTCACACATACATGAGCATACTCTATGAATCAGTGATGCCGACAATTATGGTTTTGCTGTGATCGTGCCCAATTGATGCGAAACTTTCAAGCAATGAAGTCGCTGCAATACACGGTAAAAATGTTTAATATGGATTCGGATGTAGTTTTTTTCCTCACTAGTAATGGGGAGGGAGAGCACAATGTTTGGTGTGTCATGAAGAAATCGCACTGATGACAAACTTTTTTGTTAAGCGCCATTATAGCGCCATTTCCCTTTATTCCCAAATATTGAATTAATAAATTATTACGTTCATATGCACATAAATAAAAAGAAGAATTTAAAATAACGCTAAGAAATTCCTTTTCTTTTAATTCAAAATGAGAAGAGTAATAAAAATTAAACTTTTTGTTTTAATTTTAATTTTAATTAAATAAAAAATCTAAGCAAGCAATGCAAGTGAATTAAATTATATTAAAAGGCTAATTGTTTAATATTATATCTCCCTTTCACACTATTCACAAAATACAAAAATCCCTTTTTTTTATAATTTGCAACTCGAAATCGTTGACAACACTGTTTGCATCAAACGCGTGAGCGACTTATTCTCATTCTCTCATCGCTTAGCAAAAATGAAATATGTGATTGTGTGAGTTTTGGCCACCTCTGCTTTAGTATAATAAAATAAAATTGGTGTACAAATACTCGATACCGAGTGAGTTTCGGTGCTTTCGATACTTACTCGAGTACCGATACTTTCTGCCGATACTACAAGCGAGTAAAACTCTCGATACTTTAGTGGTATCGTTTAATCCCTAGTGACAATTGCTTATAAACATGACAATAGTTATAGCGGCAAGTTTTGTTATTGCACGCGAATAGGGCGGCTAAATAAACGGGAAATGTTTAGTAGCGCTCACATCGTTTTTGGGGTGGTGGGCGGAGGGGGAGGGACAGTCCCCGCTTTCTAAAAAGGCGTATCCCCCCTTGGGCTCCTCCCACAGGCCCCTAGGGAACCGTTTGAAAAAGGGGGAAAAACGGAATTTTCTTAGGCAAACTGAGCAGTTTGAAGTGGAATGTGACCCAACTAACAGAAACCGTGGGATTTTTTTATAAAAGAAATTATGCCAAATTAGATATCGGGCGATTTTGAATAAAGAATAAAAAAGTTAATTAAAAATAGAAAAAACAAGTTTATATAAAAAAAATTTTCTCTTTAACAAATGTATTTTTGCGTAGAATTTCTTTCGGCGAAGGCGGCCTTCGGCCGCACTTAGGGATTGTAACCCTCTAGCAGTAGAATTCTCCTTTCTGTGTTGCCAAAGAAAGGGGGCTGAACACCTTTTGCAGAGAACAACTTTCTGCGTAGGCGGCCTTCGGCCGCACTTAGGGATTATAACCCTCAGGCAGTAGAATTCTCCTTTCTGTGTTGCCAAAGAAGGGAGGCTGAACACCTTTTACAGAGAATACCTTTCTGAGTAGGCGGCCTTCGGCCGGACTTAGGCATTATAACCCTCAGGCAATAGAATTCTCCTTTCTGTTTTGCGAAGAAAAGGAGCTGAACACCTTTTGCAGAGAACACCTTTGTATATTTTTAATGCTCACTGGGTTATATTTTATCTTCTTTTGTCTCTCATTCTTTTGCATATTTTGGAGTTTGACAACCGAACTCCGCCATTTAATTTGCATATGCAACCAAAGGCAGACGCGTGATTTTGAAGGTGTTTTTGTTTAATGACTCGTTATTAATTGGTTAATATTAAAGTCGTAAAGCAAGTTATAACTGATCGAGTAAAGTGTAAAGTGAAGGGGAATACAAAAATGTATTGGTGAAGTGGCTGCTTTAAGGAGAATTAAGAGTGAGAATAAATGTATGCTAATTTCCGAATTTTATAAAAAAGGGCATATTTCAAACCCAATTTGTAAATAAATTAGTGACCAAAATTTACAAAAGTGAGTGTTAAAATAATGCGTAGATCCTTGACTACAAGGGTGTGGAATTTTTTTTTGGATCGGGCCACCCCTTTAGACGGAATAGCCCGAAATATTTGTGAGCGCTACTAAACCCCACCCAAATAAACAATAGTGGTATTCATCTAAACCGATAACTTTATCAAGCAGATAATCTTATAAGTTTACGCACTCTGTTACATGGACGACCCACACTCTCTTTTAGTTTACACATGCGACAATAGTTGTGTTTTCTCTTTGGTTATAAAGCTCAGTATCACTAACTTTATACTACTAGCACGGGGATGAAGAAATTATAGAAACTACCTCACTAAATTGGAAAAAATTATATTTACGAGATAATATCTATTTAAATAAATATACATATAACATAAAGGTTATTTATTTGAAGCAAGTTATAAGAAACAATGGCAGAATGTCTGTTTGTGTATAAATTCATTTGTCACGGCTACCAAACTTTGCGGCCAAAACAAACAAAACAAACAGACGGGATAATAATTGAACCAGATCTCTATCAGGATCACATCGTTGTTGTTGAATTTGCGTGCACAATTTTTATGCGGATCCCGATTATTGCCCAAGAAAACATAGGTAGAGTTGCGACAGAGTTGCATTGTTTTCAGTTTATCAAGTTTATTCAGTGAAATCGCTGGATAAATTTATCAGAAATGTGTAAACGAGTTTCCATACAAATTTTTACAGTTCATTTATAAGGTTTACACAATTATAAGTTTATACGGTTTACAATGCATTTATAAGGTTTGGTGAATACCCTTAATAAGACATTGTGTATATAAAAATAAATAAATTATTGTTTACATACAATATACGAACGGTAGTTAAGTGAGAGATGAGTGTCGGGGTAGGGTTGCCAGATTCTGAAACAGAGAAAGGACAACATTTCTATTTTCGATAGAAAAAAAGCAGTACAGAACTTAAAAAAAGAGGACAATTTTTGTTTTAATTTTTTTTGTGCAATTTATTTTTACAAATTACCATTATTTAGGTACAAACAAACACGAATATCATACAAATCTTTTTGAAAGCAACAATAAATGTTAAAAATAAATAATTAAATTCTACAAAAGAATTCCAGGCTATTCCTGAATGTATGGCAACTTTTTTATTTTATAATTTTTCTGATTTTTATACCCGAGCGCCCTGCACCTACCTGCCTACGACCATGCTTACACCTTTTCACTATCACACTTAACTTTACTTACTAAGTAGTGTTTTCCACAATATGAATGGCAAAGTACAGGGCGTAAAATAATAACTGTCGCAAAGGTTTTTCGAAAAATAAGAGTCCTTTAAAGATTAGTATTTTTTGCTAACTTTATAAATAGTTTACTTTAATTTTATTAATTAGTTTTAAAACTTTAATCCTTATTTCCATTTGCCAGCTTTTGGAGATAAGTACATGCTTTTTTCAGGTGTATTTTTTCTTAGATTTTGTATTAAAAAAAAAAGAAAACTGTATTGGTATAGGGTTGGTCGAATGAATGG